TCAGGGAGGGTCCAGAGCCACATCCCTGCAACGCTGCCCTGCAAAGAGGGGCACAGGACAGGGAACAGCCTGGGGCAGTGGGGTCCGGGGCAGTGAGGGGTGTGAGGGGCAGCTCTGGGGGACAGAACAGGGAGGCTCCGGTGCGGGTGGCCCCGGGCTGTGCCGGGTCAGGATCAAACTTTCTCCCGGGATACAGCAGGGCTGCCTCAGCGATCCTTGCAGATGCTCTGCAGTGCTGCCGGGGACGCGGCCGCTCTTCCCCAGCGCGTTTAAAGCGCCGGTGGAAGGAGGGAAGCAAGGAAGGAAGGAAGGGGGTGAGGAACCTGTGCGCTCCGGAGGGCAGGGAAGCCCCCGGCGGGGCGAGCAGGCAGCGGCAGCGCAGCGAGAGGGAAAGCACCGCTCCGAGGCAGAGCTGCGGGCAGCCGAGCGCTGGGATGGCAGAAGCAGCCGGGTACTCACCGCAGTCTCGCTCAGCTCGCAGCCCAGCCAGGACAGTCCTGCAGAGCCGGATCGCTGCGGTGCCTCCTGCCCACCGCCAGCTGCCGGGACGCCAGCCCGCCTTGTCTCTCAAAGGTCACAGCCAGAGGACCTTGCAGTAAACATAAGGTGCTGATGGGAAGCTCCGTTCCAGCTCTGCTGCCGCCTCCTCCTCCCCCTCCATCGCAGGAGGGCTCTGCCTGCTCCGGGAGCTCAGCATCGTCTGCCTCGGGCGGCTCTGGGAGGAGGCTGGGGCTGTCCTCGGGGGCAGAGCCTGGCAGATGCTCCAGGGTAGCCGGGGCCAGCGCTGTGCCAGAGCTGCAGCCCAAGCGTTCTGCTCAGCCCTACCTGGTCGGGAGCCACGTGGAGGGAGGCAAGAGCCCTGCTCGGAGAGCAGCAGCCTGGCATGTTAACCCTCCCGGCTCCGCCAGCGCAAGGCGAGAGGGACTGAGGGTACTCTGTGCCCCCCGGCAGGCTGCGAGCCAGCTGGCAGCACCCTGAGCCCCCCTTCCTGTCCCCGGGGAGGTGACAGCGTCCGAGCACAGGGTGCTCGCCTTCCCTGAAACCAGACACGGCATCCTGCTGCTGGGCTCAGCAGAACAGGTTTCCGCTGAGCCGCAGGAACCGCGGCTCCCACTCCGGACATCTGCGTGCTCCGAAATGCCAGGGCAGCTGCTGCCGGCGGGGCTGGGGACAGCAGAGCCCTGCCCCGGCCCGCGGCGGTGGCAACTGTCTCATGGGATCAGTCGGCCGACGAGACCGGCTGGAGCTGCCGAGTGACAGCTCCATCAGGCGCTGGTGACAGCCGCTGTCCCGCTGCCAGCCCCGGGGAGCGGGCAGGGAGTGCCAGGCTGCCCCATGCTCAGCCGGGAGATGTGAATGCCGGCCTCAAACTCACCTGTTTCTCTGGCCCCAGCAGCCCTCCGGCACCACTGCAGGGGTGACAGGCGTCCCTGCACCCCGAGGATCCCTCTGCCTGCCCTCTCACAATTAGTGATGCTCCAGCAAATGCTGTGCTGCTCCTCCCGTCCACACAGAGTGCCTGAGGTGCAGCTCCCCTCACTGCATCCATCACCTCACTGTGTCCATCACCTCCCTGTGTCCATCACCTCCCTGCATCCATCACCTCACTGTGTCCATCATTCACCTCACTGTATCCATCAGCTCCCTGTATCCATCAACTCCCTGTGTCCATCACCTGCATCCATCACCTCCCTGTGTCCATCACCTGCATCCATCACCTCACTGCATCCATCACCTCCTTTCATCCATCACCTCACTGCATCCATCACCTCACTGTGTCCATTAGCTCACTGCATCCATTAGCTCCCTGAGTGCATCCCTTCCCTGAATTCATCCCCTCCCTGAATCCATCCGCTCCTTGAATCCATCCCTTCCCTGAATCCATCCTCTCCCTGAATCCATCCACTCCCTGAATCCATCACCTTGCTGAGTGCATCCCCTCCCTGAATCCATCCCCTCCCTGAATCCATCCCCACCCTGAATCCCTCCCTTCCCTGACTCCTTCCCTTCCCTGAATCCCTCCCCAGCTCCCTCCCCTCCCCGAATCCATCCCTGTGCCCGCCAAGGCACCTTCTGCTGCATCAGCAGAGCCGAGCACGCTGCTCCTGCAGCACCGGCTGCCAGCGCTGCCCTGCCTGCTCCGCCGGTATTTTTCCTGCTTCTCCTGCCAGCTCTGCAGCCCTAACGCCTCAACCCACGGGCACTGCTGGCATCCTCTCAGGCTCCCCTGGGATGTCCCCGTGCCCTGCAAAGCCTCCTGCTCTCCCTCCTCTCTGCTGCCTCGTGCTGCAGAGGGGGCTGGAAGGGGATGGGGAGCTGTAAGACGCCCTGAAGGTGACAGGCTGTGGCATTTTAGACGTGCAGGCAGCATCCCTGCAGGTGAGCTGCTCTCACACCCAAAACCCAATCAGTCCAGTTCGGGTAGGCCATGCTGGTCCCTGGGGTGAGCTTTGCCAGGACGTGTGACCTGTGTCACTGCAGCCCAGAGAAAACCCAGCGCCGTTCCTGCTCCTGTTCCTTCCTTCCCCCCGTGGCTGTTTTGGGATGCGTCACCTCCCGCAAACGCCGCTCTCTGCACAGAGCTCCCCGGCTAATGGACCTGGGCAACGAGGTGAGGCTCTGCCTGCCCGCACCACGCCCCAGGGCTTCCATTAGGAGAGCCCCGTGGTCTAATGGATGCGAGAAAAGGTGGCTGAGATGGGAACTTTGTGCAGCCAATTATCTCGGAACAAGAGCACGGTGAGAAAAATGAGTTCTGGGTGTTCCCTTTGGCGCCGGGCGGGTCCCTCTGCAGCCATCGGGGTCTGGCTGTGCATCCCACCTGTGTCTGCTCTCTGTGTCAGGGATGGAGGGCAGGCACACCTGGTGCCACACTGCCGAGGTGCCCCAAAGCAGAGCAGAGCCCCAGCCTTGTCCTGGTTTGTTGTCCTGGGAAGCCATCGGCCTTAGTGGCACTTTGGCCTCTTCCCAAGGTGGCCCAGGGCAACACCAGCCCAGTGTTTCCAGGCCACCACAGAATCGCTGAGGTTGGAAAAACCTCTAAGATCAAGCCCAACGATCAACCCAGCATTGCCAAGGCCATCGCTAAACCACATGGCCAAGGGTGGGGCTGGGGACAGGGGGCGGGGCCTGGCTGTGAATGGGCGTGGCCTCAAAGGGGAGGGGGCGGGACCTGACAGTGAGTAGGCGTGGCCATGAACATCATTGTCTTCTCTGTGAGTGACCCAAAACACACAAAATACATCCCAATAAACCAAAAACCTCAAAATCTATCAAAACAATCCACCCCAAAAAATCCCAAAATCCACCACAAAAACCACCCCAAAATCCCAGTGTATCCCAGGTGTATCCAGGTGTGCCCAGGTGTATCTCAGGTGTATCTCAGGTAACTCTCAGGTGTGTTTTCAGGTACATTTCACCCCCGAGTGCCGTTTCAAGGACGGCACTGTGTGTTCGAGAACTCTCATGTGCTCTACACCTCAGCCCTGTACCTGGGGCTGTACGGCCTCGGGTATGAAAGGACAAAGCTGCCACACATTTCCTGCCCCAGCTGCTCGAGGGTGAGTCAAAATATCCAAATCTGGGGTTTTAGACCCAAAAATTGGGGTTTGAAACACAAAAAATGGGGGTTAGAACCCAAAAATTGGGGATTTGAACCCAAACATTGAGATTGGAAACCCAAAATCCTTGGGTTTGCCATATGGTTTGAACTCTTCCAGGGTTGATGACTCCACCACTGCCCTTGGCAGCCTGTGCCAGGGCTGGACAACCCTTTCAGTGAAGAAATCTTCCCTTAAATCCAACCTAAACCTCCCGTGACACAGCTTAAGGCCGCTTCTTTTTGTCCTGTCATTTGTTACCTGGCAGAAAACCCGACCCCCGCCTGGCTCCACCCTCCTGTCAGGGAGTTGATGAGAGCGAGAAGGTCCCCTCGAGCCTCCTTTTCTCCAGTTTAACCCCCCCAGCTCCCTCGGCCTCTCCTCATCCCGCTGGTTCTCCAGCCCCTTCTCTTGACACACTCCGGCACCCCAATGTCCTTCTTTCGAGGGGCCCAAAACTGCTCCCAGGATTCGGGGTGCGGCTCCATCAGCGCCGAGCCCAGGGGCACCGTCACTGCCCCGGCCCGGGGAGCGCCCCCCGATCCCCGATCCCCGATCCCCGGGCAGGCGGGTGCTCGGGGGGATGCGCGGGGGGATGCGGAGGAGCGCGGAGGAGCGCGGGGGGATGCTGAGGAGCGCGGGGGGATGCGGAGGAGCGCGGAGGAGGGCTCAGCGCAGCCCCGCCCGGCGCGGCCCCGCCCGGTGCCGCTCGCCCTCGGCGGGGGCGGCCAGAGCCGGGCGCTGCGGGCAGCAGGGACCGCTCCGCTCCGCGCCGCCCCGCGCCGCAGCCATGGCCCCGGGCTCGCCCGCCGCTCGCCGCCGCGCCGCGCCGCGCCTGCTGGCCGCGCTCCTGGGTAAGGGGCGCCGAGGGCTGCGGGGACCCCTCCGGGTACCGCCCGCGTCCCGTGTCCCCCCACCCCGGCTCCCCGGCGGGGACTCAGCCCCAGGCGGGGGTCCCCGCTCCGCACCCTCCCTGCGCCCCGCCCGCCGCGCCCGGGGATGCCGCTAACGCCGCTCTCCGCTCTGCAGACGGACGGTCCGGAGCGCCGGGGATAAGTCACTCGGCCAAGGTGACTTCGCAGCCGAGCCCCAGCTCCGAAGTCCCGGCTCCAGCCCCTGCCCTGCCCCCAGCCGGCGCTTCTCCTGCGAGCACCGCGGCCGCACCCCGCTTTGCCCCGCTGCCGAGCCCCGGCCGGCGGGGACCGCGCTGCTGCCCGCCCGGTACCGGGGGATGCCCGCGGGGAGCCCGTGCACTGCTTCAGCGCCAGCACGCCCGCCGACAGGTCATTGTCTTACGGTTCCTTTGGTACGACCGCCCGCATGCGCTTGTCCCAGCCGCGGGGACCGACCCGCGCCGCGGGGCCGCTGCTTGGAGCATGACGCCCGGCGCTGTGGCCGGGGATGCCCGAGATCCCCCGCCACAGGGCGCAGGGAGGGGCTGGCAGCCGTTCCCTCCCCGCTGCACACCTGGGGCAGGCTCCGGCCGCCTGCATCAGCCTCACGCCCCCGCTGCACTCCTGCTCCTCCCGCGGGTCACCCTCGCCCCAGCCCGCGACCCAGGGCTGGCTGGGCAGCGCTTGCTGCTGGGGCGCTCCCGTGGGAGGCGTTTTAGAGGGCAAAGTTCTTAAGTTAAAGGATGCTGGAGACGCAAACAAGCCATGTAAGTACCTGACCCCCTGCAAGATTTGGGTGCCAGCGCCTGAGCTGGCACTGGGGTGGTAGGAGAGGCTCGGAGAGGCTTGAGAGCACTCAGGGGTCGGGGGTGCAGGGCATGGAGGTGCGAACAGGGTCCCACAAGCCGCTCAGGTGGGCTGGGAGCTGGGAGGGCGCTGGGCAGGGAGTGCAGGGCGCGTCTCTCTGTAGGTTTGGGGGATGCCGTGCTCTGCAGGGAAGGTCAGCACAGCCCCTCCCAGCGAGAGCTGGGGGCCGTGTGTCCCCTCCCGGAGCACAGCGCACCTGCCTCGGGCCGGGCACGGAGCTCCTCTCTTTGAGCCCGCTGGAGAGGAGCCCGGCCAGCCTGGCAGGCATGGCTTGCTGCCTGCGCCAGCATGTCACGCTGACTTCTCTGGGCAGCGAAAGTTTCTCTGGAGCAGCTTTCCCACAGATGGCAGCCCGGGGTGAGCACGGAGCCCCCTCGCTCTGGGGGCTCTCCCTCTGCAGGGGCAAAGCGCAGGCAGCCAAGGCTCGGGCAGCAGTGGCCGCTCCCTGCTTCCCTGGGAAATGCCGATGCCTGCAGGCACGGGATGGAGCCTGCACCCCCCAGGAGAGTGGCCCTGAGGGTTGGGGGCCTGGTGGTGCCAAGTGCAGCAGCTTTGGGAGGGTTTGGAAAGGCAGGGCTGAGAGCTGGTGTGTGGCACCGCTCCCCCAGCGTGTTTTCCTCGGTGCTTTATTGAGTGGTAACATATCAGCTTTGTCTTCCTGGAGAGCACAAGGATGACAGGAGCAAGGTCAGCCTCGATTTACCCCACACGTTCAATTCAGGTTACATTCTAAGGGTGGCAGACAGGTTTTAAAGTGTTGCAAGCTGCAGGGAATCATCTTTCCTGCGAGTGCCCGCTTGCAGCACGCTGCAGCCTCAGAGGTACCTGCAGAGCCAGGCATGCCCCTGCCAGCTCCTGCTCCAGGGGCACAGCTCCTGTCCCCTGGGACACTCCCGCCTGTGGAGTCCCCCCTGCAGCACCCCCAGAGCTGCTCTAGGGGCTGCAGGAGATTCCATCTGCCGGGAACCACTCCCTGCCTGCCGAGCAGAATGAGGAGCGCTCCTGTGTAAAGTTAAATAACTCCTCGCCTGCAGTGCTTGCAATGCAGCACTGCAGCAGGGCCCGCAGCCCAGGATGCAGGGCTCTCGGGCTTGGCTCCGGCTGCGACGTGCCTGGGGAGTTGTTAGCACCGGCTTGTGTGGGAGAATAAATCAGCAGCTGAGGCGGCTGCGGAGAGAGGAGAATCCTGACAGAAGGCAGCGTGTCCGAGCCGAGCTGTTGGGGCAGCTGGGGATCACCCTGCAGCCCTGGGAAAAGCTGTGACCCCTGGGTTTTGTGCCCAAGAAAAGCTCTGCAGGGCTGGCTGAGGTCTGGGAAAGGGGAGGACAGCGCTTTGCAGGGCCGTGTCACATCTTAGCCATGCCACATCACACAAACAGGACAGGGCAATCCTGGGATGGGGATGGGGATGGGGAGCGGGGCTGCTCCTCTGGGCAGGACCAGAGCATCCCTGTGCTCCCAGAAAGGATCTGTGGGGACAGCGGTGGCCCAGCCCAATGCAATGCCAGCCCCTGCACCCAGGAGTGCTCGGCTGCAGCTGGGCTCCTACCTGCCCCTCTATCCCTGCCCCTCTATCCCTGCTCCTCTCTCCCTGCCCATCTCTCCCTGCTCCTCTCCCTGCCCCTCTATCCCTGCTCCTCTCCCTGCCCCTCTCTCCCTGCCCCTCTATCCCTGCCCCTCTCCCTGCCCCTCTCTCCCTGCCCCTCTCTCCCTGCTCAGAGGAGCCGAGGAGGAGCAGGAGAGCTCCTCCTGCACTTTGAAGGTCATCAGGCAGCTCCGGAGGGAGCCAGGGCTCTCTCAGCTGGACGTGGGGGCTGCTCCCGAGGGCAGGGCAGGGCAGCGGGTGGCAGGCGGCCAGGACAGCCTCGCTAATTGCTGCTCCAGCTCCCGCCTGAGGAACAGAGCTCTGCTTCGCCTTGGCTTTTTTCTCCCCCTTCAAGGTCCAGCTGAGGCCTGTGGATAACATGCAAATCAGGGCTCTCATTTGCTCGCTTTCTTCCTGGGGATATTCTGGTTACTTTGAACCTGCGCTGTCTCTGAGGGTGACCCAGCCCCTGTCCCTGCGGGTCCCCTCTGTCACCGAGCCCTTCTAGGGCTGGGGACAGGCTCCTGCCATGGCAGCCGGGTGTGCCAAAGGGAACGAGGGGTGACAAAGCCTTGGCCTCACTCTCTGCTCCCCTCTCCCTGCCAGGTTTGCACGTCCTGGCCATTGCCTTCGCCCTGGAGGTGTCGGTGGGGAAAACCAACACGGTGACAGCTCTGAATAACTCCAATGTCCTGCTGCCCTGCACCTTCGCCACCTGCATAGGCTTCCAGGACCTGGTCTTCAAATGGTATTTCAACACGACAGAGCTGGTGGGTGGCTCTCTGGGCTCTGCCTCTGCTTCCCTGGCAGCTCCTGTTGTGCTTCCCCAGCACAGCTAGCACTGAAGTTCTCACAGTTCCCTTTCTCCTCGTGCAGGATGTCCTTCTCTCCGTGTCCCCAGCTCTGGGGGGACAAGGCTGTGCCAAGGGGTGACTCAAATACCCCAGAACATCGTGCTTTTGGCACAAAGCTGTTCTAGATCCGCTGCTGCCCACAGGCTCATTTGTTTTCATAAGTTGGCTGTTCAGGTGCAAATCTGCACTTAGGGCAAAATATGGTTCATTTCCTCCTCCTTGGCTTGCTTTGAAATATGAAAGGTTCTGTATAGATTTGCTTCCTGCTGGGAATATTTGGCTCCTCAATTCCTCAGCAGGAGGGCTGGTTTGGAGCAGTTCTGGCCATCAAAGGAGCTCACTTTCTCTGGGGATCTCCCATTTTTTGCATGGTCTGTTCCATTTCTTCAGGGCAGGCAGAAATGCTTTCCACCAGGATGTTCATCAGGTTCCTCTCCATGGTCATTCCTGCTTTAACGGGGTGCAATGGGACATTTGGTGGGGGTGTCTGTGTGGGCAGAGCTGAGTCTGGGCACCACCAGGAGAGCGTGAGCCTTTCCCTCACCCAGCTGATCCTGCCCCCTGCCCCGGCAGATTTACCACGGCAAGATAAAGGCCAAGACCACGGAGCCCACCCTGGTGTGGCACAACCCGCGGGTGGAGTTCGTGGGCTCCACCACCAAGAAGGACAACAACATCTCCATCGTGCTGAACGGCGTGGAGTTCAGCGATGCTGGCAAGTACACCTGCTACGTCAAGAACCCCAAGGAGAGGAACGCCGAGCAGAACGCCACCATCTTCCTCACCGTGGTGCACAAGAGTGAGTGCTGGCCAGGGGTGGCTCTGGGCTGGTGGCAATGCCCCTTGGCTCGTGGTTGTGGTGGTTGGCATCCCTGGAAACCTTGTGGGGAGGAGGTTTTGGGTTTTTGGGGTGGGATGTGCAGCTGGGAGCTCCCTGCTCCCCTCCTGAGCCCCCTCAGCACCTTCTCTCCCGCAGTGGTGGAGACGGACAACACTGTGACCGTCATCATCGTGAGCGTGGTGGGGGGGCTCATCGGCCTCCTCATCCTCTTCATGCTCATCAAGAGGGTGGTGCTGTTCATCATCAAGAAGATGCAGGACGGGAAGTGAGTTGGGGTGGGGTCGGGGCTCTCAGGGCCGGGCTCAGGGGGCTCTCAGGGCTGGGCTTGGGGGATTCTCGGGGTCAGATTTGGGGGCTCTTGGGTCCAGGCTCAGGGGGCTCTCAGGACCGGGCTCAGGAGGCTCTCGGGATCAGGCTCTCGGGGCTCTCAAGGCTGGGCTTGGAGGATTCTCAGGGTCAGACTTGGGGACTCTTGGGGCTGGACTCAGGGGGCTCTCGGGGCCAGGCTTGGGGTGCTCTCATCTGCCCGTGCCCTCTCCCCCTGCAGGAAGGAGTGTCTGGTGAGCTCGTCAGGGAACGACAACACCGAGAACGGCCTGGCCGGCTCCAAGGCGGAACAAAAAGCTCCACCAAAGGCATGAACGGAGCGGCGGCGCCCCGCGCCCGCCTCGCCCCGCCGCGGCAGCCCGGGCACGGGACCGGCCTTCCCCTTTTGTTTTCTTTCCGAACTGCCAGCGCTTGAGACATGTTTCTATTACACACGTGCCTGCAACCTGCACTGCTTCTCCGACAGGGCTGCGGCTGCCGGGGGGACTGGGAGCTTCTCGCGGACTCGCACTGGGAGGCTGCTGGGTTGAGCACAGGCAAGAGGGTGCCGGGCAGGGCAGGGGCACGGGCAGGGTGGGTGCCGTGCCCGGGGCCGGGTGCTGGCACCGGGGCCCGCTGGGTGCTGAGCTGGGGTGGCTGGGAGCGGCTGCTGCTGCATCCTGAAGGTTTCTGGAGCAGGATGCTCAGAGCCGGCCGTGCAGATGGCGTGGTGCAGGAGGATGCAGGGCTGTGATAAGCACACTGGAGAACCAAATCAGCGACAGGGCCCTGGCTGTGCCTCGGTGCCTCCCTCCCAGGGCACGGCTGGGCAGGTGCCCGTGTCCCGGGGCATCCCTGGGGGCAGGGGGCTTCTCCCCAGGCAGCCCCCCAGCTTGGTACTGCTCCCTCCCCTCTCTCTGGAGCTCGGTGCTTTTGATGCCGGTGCCAAGGCTGAGCTCGTTACGTGGATGTTTCTGTGTGAGATTCCAGGGGAAAGCAGCCAATTGTGTTTCCCTTTCACCGTGGCAGGGAGGGAGCACGGCCGAGCCCAGGCCAGGGGAGCCGGGCTGGGGCTGTGCCACCGACCCGCTGGGCAACCCTGGGCAAGTTGCTCTGCCTCTCCATGCCTCAGTTTCCCCGTCTGTAAAATGGGGACAAAAATACTGCTCTACCTCACGGGGTGGGTGTGAGGTTTCCTTGGCTCTGAGGGGTGAGTGGACTCACAGGACGTGAGACACAAAGTGGGCGAGCTACATCTGAGCTTGACAATTTTCTTTAAAAAATGATTTGTCCCCTTATTATTTCTCCAATTTGTGGGTGTCTGGCAGTGATGCTGCAGGACAGGCAGCTCCCCTGGCCCCACAGTAAATTGGGATTCTCAGCAGAGCCATGGCTTGCTGTGGGGCGCCCTGGCAGAGGTGCTGGAGTGGGAGCAGGTGAGGATTTGGTGGCCAAGGTGACAAGGAAAGGCTGGGTGCTACTTTCTCTGGAGATGCTGGAGCACAGCGGGCTGGTCACCTCAGGCTGGGCCTGGGGACACCCATTGGAGCAGGGCGGTGTGCTCAGGACAGGGGACAGGCTCTGGGGGACAGGGGACAGTCCCTTGGCTCTTGATAAGACAGGCAAGTGGGAGTCAGGACCTGATGCTCTCCCTGAGGGTCTGTAGGACCCAATCTGTGCTTCAGTGTCCCCACCTGCACGCTGGGGACAGTCTGAGCTACCTCTGAGGAGGGACGGGGCACCCTGCCCGGCTCTGCACAGCCCCTGGTGGAAGGTGCCACCCTGTGCCAGGTGTTGTGCCCTGTGCCAGGTGTTGTGATGCACCAGGTGTTGTGACACGCCAGGTGTTGTGATGCACCAGGTGTTGTGATGCACCAGGTGTTGTGCCCTGTGCCAGGTGTTGTGCCCTGTGCCAGGTGTTGTGACACACCAGGTGTTGTGATGCGCCAGGTGTTGTGCCCTGCGCCAGGTGTTGTGACGTGCCAGGTGTTGTGATGCGCCAGGTGTTGTGCCCTGCACCAGGTGTTGTGACGTGCCAGGTGTTGTGCCCTGTGCCAGGTGTTGTGACGTGCCAGGTGTTGTGACGTGCCAGGTGTTGTGATGCGCCAGGTGTTTGACGTGCCAGGTGTTGTGCCCTGTGCCAGGTGTTGTGATGCGCCAGGTGTTGTGACACCACCAGCGCCACCTGGGAGGAGCCCGAGACCTCCCAGCCACCCCGAGAGACCCCGGCCCGCCCTGGAGGAGCCCTCCCGCGGGGGAGGACAGCGAGGAGGCGACGGAGGGAGTTTTTTAAAGACTATTTTTAGCTGTCCTGACCTGTTGGGCATTTTTTAGCCGGCGCGTGGACGCGGCTCCACTTCCCGCCGGATATGCAATGCTGCACTATGCATGGGTTACTACAGTAATAAAGCTTCGATCCTGGCCTTTTCATCGAGCCGTGCAGGACGGTCTGGGAGCCTCCATGGAGCTTTCCCAAGCTCTGTGAAGCCTGCTACGGATTACTCCTGTGGCTCGCTGGGAAACGGCCACAAAAGCACTTTTGGGAATGCGACCCCGTGATCACACGGGTGCTCCGGGGGAGCGGGCTGCCCTGGGGGCTTGTGCCAGCACCAGCGGGGTCCCTGCTGTCCCCAGGGCTTTGGGGGGGCTGCAGGGGCACCCTGGGGGTGTGTGCTGCCACAGACACGTGTGTGTGTCCAAGCACAGGTAGAGCTGCGTGGGGGAAGCTGGGGGTAAGCACAGGGGGCTGCGCGCCGGGCTCTGTGATGACTTACAGCACATCTTTGCACTGTAGAGGTTTAGTTAGCTTTGCCTTGAATGAAATAAAGTTTACGTTTACTAGAGAAACTCGACGGTGTTTGGGGTTGCTGTGGGTGTTTGTTTAGGTCTGGGGGGGCGGCTGAGTAAAATAATCCCGCGAGGAAGCAGGAGGAAGGCTTGGGAGGCTGAGTGAAAAACAAATCCTTTCCTTTAATGGGGATAGGGGGAGGGTGTGGAGAACAAACATAATTTCTTTCTGTACAACAGGAGCGAGCTGACAGCAGCCTGGCCCCCCAGGAGCCATCCTGCCACAGCGGGGTCAGCACAGGGCAATAAATTAATCCTCCTCCGGAAGGGAGCTCGGGCCAGAGAGATTCCTTCACAGGATCAGTGGCTGCCATCCGAGTCACCCTTTGCCTCCTTGGCTGGGCTCTGGCACCCTCAATCACAGCTGCCACGAGGCGTTGGGAGCCTTGCTCCCCTTCCATGGCTGGAGATCCCTGGCCCTGCTGCTGCCAGAGCCAGGGCAGAGGGTGGGAGGGGAGGCTGGGGACGAGGAGCGACCTGTTCCGGCAGGTCTCAGAGCTCTGACTGCGGGCAGAGAGAGGCACAGAGGGCATTGAGGGCTCTGGAAGGGCGGCCAGAACAAGAGCAAAGCAGCAGGAGTGTCCCTTGGGGGCAGCTCAGCGAAGGGAGCTGCAGTACAGCACTCACCCTGCGCACGGCGTAGATCCAGTCCAGGTAGGCACGGACGCTGGTGTAGACTCCAGGTGTGCTGGGGGTGCCGCAGCCCTGACCCCAGCTGACGATGCCCACGACCTGCCAGTGCCCTCCCGAGTACAGCAGGGGCCCGCCGCTGTCCCCCTGGCAAGGACAGACCCTCAGGATGGCCCCACAGAGCCACAGCCGTGCCCAGAGCAGCTCTTCCCTCCCAGAAGCTGTGGCACAGATGGGTGTGAACCCACCCAGCCCCTTGCCCAGCCCTGCCCCACACCTGGCAGGTGTCCACGCCGCCCTGGGGCAGCCCGGCACACAGCATCCTGTCGGTGACATCGCCGTGGTAGGCGGCCAGGTTACAGCTCTGCGCGTCGATGAGCTCCACCTCAGCCTGCTGCAGGCGCTCCGACAGCTTCCCTGGGGGACACACGGCCTCTCAGAGGGACCCTCTGCTCCTGCTGGGGGCTCTGCCTCGTCCCTGCCACCCCCGGGCTGTGCCACTCACCGTGCTCCTCTGTGTAGCCCCAGCCAATCACCCACAGGGGGGTGCCCGGCACCAGCTCCTCATCAAAGTAGGGCAGGCAGATGGGCCTGGTGCTGTCTGGGAAGGAGATGGGAGGGGGGCCCGGGCTGGCTGGGGACAGCCACCAGCTGGGCACCCACTCGGTGCCACACTGTGCATCGCCACCCCAGCCCGATGCTCAGTGCCAACATTGTGACCCCTGCCCAGGGCAGGGCTCTGCCGGGCGCACCTGAGTCGTGCACGGGGGAGCGCAGCTTCACCAGGGCGATGTCGTTGTCCTTGGGGGACGCGGGGGTCACCTCGGCCAGGAACACCTTCTCCACGGCGATGGTGGCAGCGCCCGACAGCAGGTCCGAGCCGGCCTTCACACGCCAGCTCTGGATGATGGGGTTGTTCCTGTGCACAGAGAGCGCTGCTGTCACCCACGGGGACAGCCCCAGAGCCCCCTGCCAGCCCCAGAGCCCCCTGCCAGCCCCAGAGCCCCCTGCCAGCCCCGTTGGTCGGTTGGTCTCAGCGAGCATAGAGAGGTACCATATTATAGAGAAAATAAGGTACAGAGGTTCCTGGGTGATTGCCAGAGTGCTGAGGGTGCAGTTACCGCTGAGGAGGACAACGGAGAGGAGGATAATTGCTAGGGTGACCTCACAGGAGATATTGAGCTCCTGCCCGTAGCGCCCCAATCAGGGTGCATTTTGGATTGGAAGCTCAGCCTGACCATAGGATGGAGTGCGCTGCTAAGCTCGGCATGGCTGATGGGAGGAGCAGGCCTAGGCTGGCAGGAGGTCCAGCAGCACCCAGAGCCGCGGGCGGTGCTCACTCACTTGAAGCAGTGCGCGGCCGTCAGCACCCAGCCGGGCCCGATGATGCTGCCCCCGCAGATGTGCTCCTTCCTGTACTGCAGGCTCACCTGCCAAGGCCACGCCTCGATGGCGGCCGGGCTGCCCCCCAGCACCCGCGGGGTGCGCACGCTCTGCCCGCAGTCTGTGGGGACATGAGGACACGGCAAGCGCGGGGACAGCAGCGTGCCCACGGTGCCTCATCCCCACAGCGCTGCTGTCACCCCTCGTCCCCAGGCCTGCTGGAAGGGGGTCCATCCGCCCCCTACCTGCTGCAGCCCCCCAGATAATTAAACTGATAATTAGTTTAATCAGGGTAATTTGCCGGTAAAGGTAAAGCTGGGTAAGCCTCCCTTAGGTGTTTCGTTGCTGGGAGGTTTGTGCTGGCGTAACGAGGTAAGCAGTAATTAAATCCATCTTTCCTCGTGCAAACACCGCGGAACGGGCTTGGGATGGAGCCACATTCCCACGGGGCCGTGCCAGGAGAGAGGCCCCAGTGCCCACAAGGGCTGGGCACCACGGTGGTACTTACCGGAACAAAAGAGTGACACAACCAGCCCCGAGAGGCATTTCCTGCAGGAGGAAGGAAGAGAGCTGGTTTGGCTCCTCTGCCAGGCACCACCACAGGCTCCTGATGGGGCGCATACCGTCCCCACTCACCTGCCTGGCTCAAGCACCTGGAGGCTCCCATTGCTCAGCACGACCTCGCGGGGAGGCAGAGGCTGCCCTGCGCTCACCTCCACGCCCTGGAAAGTTGGGGTGCTGGGAGACATGGGGGGACAGGGCTTCAGGTGTGGGGGAACACAGACACTGGTGCCTCAGCACATCAAGAGCCTGGATCCCATAGGAAAAAGGGGCTTCTGTGGGACAGGGGTGCCAAAGTGGGGATGTCACAGCCCAGGAACAGGGAGGGGAGAGAATTCCCTGCTATACAGAGGAGTGAGCAGGTAGCTCTGGGAGAACTCAGGGGGCTCCTTGCTGTTGCATTTGGGACCTGGTGAATGCCAGGTTTGACTCAGTCTGGGCTCCTGCAGTGGCTCAAACACCAGAAGCCATCTTAAAAGGGACGAGCCTCGCCACCCAGGCGAGCTGTGTTGGCACCCTGGGCTGCTCTGGGGAGGGCAGGGCTGCAGGTGGGGGACATGGAGGCAGGGCAGGGACCGGGCAGGGTGCCCACGGGCTGGGACAGAGCTGGGCACAGCACTCTGCTCTCACAGGAGGCTGCCAGGCTCCGAGCCAGCTCCTGGGCACCCACAGAGTGCTCTGCGTGCTGGGGACAGGCTGAAACCATTAGTGCAGAACTCTGAGTGCTTCACAGAGCAGCAGAGCCCCACTCCAGAGCAGCTTTTAGGAAAGGGGAAGCAGGGCAAGCAGCCAGGTACCTGCTGTAGCCCATCTGCTCACAGGCAGCTCTGGCCAGCGCCGGGGTGAAGTGGTCATGGCACACACAGGACCAGGTGCCCGTGTGGCTCTGGAGCACCTGCAGGATGGATCTGTCTTTGGACACGCGGGCTGCAGGCAGACACACAGTCAGCTTTGGCGTGGGATGGACGCAGCAGCCCGGCCCCCCGAGCTGTGTTGGGGTGTCCTGCACTCACCCCAGGCTGGTGGCCCCTCGGAGAACCACTGGGGACAGTTGGCCTCGTCCTCGCCCTGCAGACAGTCCAGATGCCCATCGCACACCTGCTTCAGCGGCACCAGCTTCAGGGGCTGCTTGCAGAACAGGTAGTGGTGGTCCAGGTAAATCTTCACTGTGGGGAGAGGGGGGCTCAGTGCTGAGATCCAGCTCCCGGGCAGGGAGCTGGGTCTGTGCTGGCCAAGCCCTGGCCATGGACAAGGAGGGGCAGAGGGCAGGAGCTGTACCCAGGAACCCGATGGCCACCAGGCAGGCCAGGGTGAGCACCACGGCCAGGATGAGGATCCCGACCCGCTTGAAGGAGTCTGATGGCCTGGAGGATTTGGGTCTCGTGTAGGGACCTGAAACACAGAGGAGCATGGCCAGGTCAGCCTGGCACCTTGTGTAGGGACCTGTAACACAGAGGGGCATGGCCCTGCACGGCCAGGCTCAGCCTGGCACCTCTCATCCCCCCCAGCTCCCAGCCGTGTTACCTCTGCCATTGAGCCGCTCCGAGGCTGAGTCCTGCAAAGCAGAGAGGAAAACAGTCACAAGCTGAGACTCAGAGAGCAGCTGGAAGGTTGGAGAGGCAGCTGTAGCCAGGGTGGTTGGCCCCGTGGTGAGCTCACAGCCCAGGGAGGGCAGCAGGGATGAGTGGAGACACTGCCCTGTCGCAGATATTTTTCACAGAAATCCTTTCTTTCAGATTTCTGCATTTTCTGGGAAGCTGAGGGCCCCCAGAAAGAGAATGTAAACAATTGTTATCAGCTGCTGTGAAATGCAATGGGATGCACCTTGACTGGCTCATGTTCCCATGTTTATAATTAAAGGCCAATCACAGGCGCAAGTTGGGGACAGAGTCCCTGGACACAACTTTGTTATAGATTCTTTCTTTCTATTCTTAGCTGTAGCAGCCTCTGCAACCTTCTCTCTTTATTCTATTTAGTATTGTCATAATGTATTATATATCATATATCAATAAATCCAGCCTTCTGATTCAAGAAACAAGATTCACCGTCTCTCTCTCACCAGCAGCGACCCACTCAGGACGCTGTAATACTGCCCCAACCTTCACAGCCCAGGGAGGGCAGCAGGGATGAGCGGGGACACTGCCCCGACCTTCACCTGAGGTGACTTCAGAGCTGCCAGGAATGGCTTGTGCTGCTGCGGTGACAACGCCCAGCTCTGGGTCACCCAGGGTCACCCGCCGCCGTGTTCCCATAGACACCACCTGTGCAGTTCCAGTAAGTGGCTCCCAGTGGCACAGAGTTACTGTCATTCACACACCTGAGGCTTGAAAAGTCACAGGCGTTGCGAAAGAGGCGCTCTCCGGTGAGCAGAGACACCCTGAGTCAAAATACACACGCCTGCGGGGCCGTGGCACAGGGCATGTCCCCACGGCGGGGTTGTGGCTCCAGCAGGGTCACAAGGGGGTGGCACAGCCCGGGTGCTCCTGCCGGGCCGCAGGGACACCGGAGGAACCAGCCCGAGCCAGGGGAACCTGCGCTCCCAGGGCGGGGAGGGCTGTGCCGCTGCTAAGAGACGGGGTAAACACAGCCGGGGCTGCACAGGGGATGAGTCAGGCACCGATCCGCTTGAGCTGCTCGGAGTTATCTCAGAATTGTCCTCCTGGAGCAGCTCCTCGTACGAGAAACCCCGGCCATGGGCGGGCAGGTGCTGTGAGTCCATGCTCGGTGGGCAGGCTGGAGCCCCCTCGGGAGGCTCAGGTGGGCACTGCCGGTGTCTGCTCCGTGATTTCCAGCCGTGCTTGTGCCGTGCCACAGAGCAGCCCTCTGGAAAGGAGTTCCTGGTGCGCTGAGCCTGCTCCCTGCCAGCCCCAGCCAGCTCCTCTCTGCTGCTGCTGCTGCTGCTGGGCTCTGCCACCACAGGTAAGAGCAGGATTTTGCACGAGCACAGGTAAGGGAGGTTAAACCCGCTGTGATAAACCCACAGGTCCCGTTGCACAATCCGGGAGGGTTTGGGAACCTTTGCTCCAAGAGCAGCCCAGTCTGGAGATGTTTGTCACACCAGAGGAGAGCAGAGGTCCCTGTGCCATCCCGGGCTCAGAGGCCTGGCACAGCAGTGTTTGTCACACCAGCGGTCCCTGTGCCATCCCGGGCTCAGAGGCCTGGCACAGCAGTGTGTTTGTCACACCAGCGGTCCCTGTGCCATCCCGGGCTCAGAGGCCTGGCACAGCAGTGTGTTTGTCACACCAGCGGTCCCTGTGCCATCCCAGGGCTTAGAGGCCTGGCACAGCAGTGTTTGTCACACCAGCGGTCCCTGTGCCATCCCAGGGCTCAGAGGCCTGGCACAGCAGTGTGTTTGTCACACCAGCGGTCCCTGTGCCATCCCGGGCTCAGAGGCCTGGCACAGCAGTGTGTTTGTCACACCAGCGGTCCCTGTGCCATCCCGGGCTCAGAGGCCTGGCACAGCAGTGTGTTTGTCACACCAGCGGTCCCTGTGCCATCCCAGGGCTTAGAGGCCTGGCACAGCAGTGTTTGTCACACCAGCGGTCCCTGTGCCATCCCAGGGCTCAGAGGCCTGGCACAGCAGTGTGTTTGTCACACCAGCGGTCCCTGTGCCATCCCGGGCTCAGAGGCCTGGCACAGCAGTGTGTTTGTCACACCAGCGGTCCCTGTGCCATCCCAGGGCTCAGAGGCCTGGCACAGCAGTGTGTTTGTCACACCAGCGGTCCCTGTGCCATCCCAGGGCTCAGAGGCCTGGCACAGCAGTGTGGGGGCACTGGGGCTGTGTGCCAAGGTCAGAGGAGAGCCCTCCGTGCCCAGGTCACAGTGTCAGGGCATGCTCAGCCGTGCACACACGCCCTTCCAGCAGGGTTTACAGCCAGTGCCAAGCCATTATCCCTGGGCTGGCACACAAAGGCAGGCTGGCTGCATGAGCCAGGAGCTGTCGCCTCCCTGCCGTGTCCCTGCAGCGTGGCTGGGGCTTGGGGACAAGCAGTGACCTGTGCAGGGGAGGGCTGGCTCCTGCCTGGTGCCGTGTGGCCGTGTCCCAGCACGCTGGAGTCTGGCTCCTTGAGGAAGTGCCAGCAGCCTTCCTCCCAAAGCCAGGCTCAGCTGGCACCCGTGCCCAGTGTGGGCAGCCTGTGCCAGTTCCCCACCCCTGCACGGGCTCTGGGGTGCAGAACCTGTTTCGTGGTGCCAGGGAGCTGCTGGAGCAGGAGGGCAGGGTGGGCAGGGAACCTGGGTCCTGCATCTCCCACCTCGCTGCCCTTCCTGAGCCACCTCCCTGCAGAGAAGGGAAGAGCTCCCGAGGCTGGGGAGTTTTGTAATGCTGCCCCAACCTCTGCCAGCCCAGGGCACGTGGGGCTGGTCCTGCCTCATGCTGACCTCCTGTGTCACCTGGGCCTGGGCCGGGCACCTCCTGGATAATGGGATCCTAACGGTTCCCTGTGGGAACGGGCCCGGGCTGGGATGGATCCTGCAGGGCCCTCTGCAGCAGCACGGCTGTTCCTCTGTCCCCACAGGGCCCAGAGCTGTCCCCACACTGCCCAGAGCTGTCCCCATCAAGCCATCCACTGCCCAGAGCTGTCCCCATCACGTCAGACACTGCCCAGGGCTGTCCCCATCACGCCAGACATTGCCCAGAGTGGTCCCCATCTCCTCATCCACTGCCCAGAGCTGTCCCCATCACATCAGACACCACCCAGAGCTGTCCCCATCACATCAGACACCACCCAGAGCTGTCCCCATCTCCTCATCCACTGCCGGGCTACTTTCCAAGACACCAGGTCGGGTGTGGATGCAGATGAGATGGGTGGTTATTGGGTTTTGGGTTTTTTTTTTTGCATTTTCTTCAGTCCATGAATCTGCTCAGTTCCAAAGGGATCCAGGGCTTGGGGCTGCCTCTCCGTGACTCCTCTCCAGCCCCACCACGAGCAGGAGCTGCACTGGTTAAATCCACAGCCAGGGCAGGAGTGAGGCGCGTTATTTCCTGCAGAGCTCCGTGCTACCGTGACTGATTGAGCTCCCTTGCTGCGTTCTCCTGGAGCTCTCCGTGGCACCGTGGCCGTGCCAGCCCCAGCCGTGCCCGTGCCAGCGCAGGGGCCGTGCAGTTCTGCAGAGCCTCTTCCCCCTGTGAGCAGGGATCCGTGCAGGGTGTGCTGAGGGCTCTGTCCCTCCCTCGGGAGCAGCTGCTGTTCCCTCACCCCGCCGAGCTTCTCAGGGCGATCCGATTGCGAGGGTGACTCCTTGGCTGGGGGATTTACCCCGTGGGTGTGTGCAGGCGCTGCAGGGCAGCTCCCCACCCTGCAGGGCTGATGTGCCGCTGTGCTGCTGCTGCTGGGGGGTTGGCAGTGCCCGGCGAGCCTGGCCATACCCCTGTGCCCTCCTGGGGAAGTGTCCCCCTGCCAGGGAGGGCCTGCCCGGGCTTTGGTGGCTCTACCTGCACAGGTGTGTCCCCCGTGCTGAGCAGAGGCACCGGCAGCTGTGCTGGGGCTGGGAGGGCCTGGCTCTCCCCCAGGCAGTGCCCAGGAGTAGGATCAGACCCTTCAGGAGGTGCTGTTCTCCTTGGCATGGGGGGCATTGCCTTTCTTGTCTGTTCCCTGGGCCAGGAAAGGGAAATGCAGCCCCAGAAATGTGGGAGAGAGAGCTGGGGGCACCCAAGCATTGTGCCCAGGTGAGGAGCAGGGAGAAAACTTTCCTTGGCACCCAAGCACCGTGCTCAGGTGAGGAGCAGGGAAAACCCTTCCTTGGCACCGAAGAACTGTGCCCAGCCACGGAGGGATGTGGGGAACAGGGAAAACCTCCAAACCTCCTTCCTTGGCTGCTGGGGAGCAGCAGCTCCTTGGCTCCGGGCTGCCCCATCCCCTCAGCACCGCTCCGGGCTGGGGGCACGGGGTATTCGTGGGGCTGGTGCCCATCCCGGGGCCGGTGCCCATCCCGGGGCTGGGGGCAGCGCTGCCACAGACTCACCATGTCCGTGCAGCTCCGGCGGGGTCCTTTGCCCGCAGAATCCCGGCGGCTGTGCCCGGTGCGGGCCCGCGGAGGCTGCGGCTGCCCTGGAGCCGGCCCGCGGTGCTCCGCAGCCCGTGCCCTGCGCTCCGTGCCCGCTCCGTGCCCACGCCGCGCTCGCACTGGGGGAGCGCCGCCCCGGCCCTCCTTAAAACCCACAGGGGGAGTTGTGAAACAGGAATTCTGGTTTGTATTGTAATACAACACCGGTCTATCAGCAGCACCATCACCTGCGCTAATCTCCCGAGCATCTGCACCGCAGGTGACTCACCTGCCGGGCTGCTGTCACCAAGCGGCTTATCAGGAGGGAACGGACTGATTTTTCCTGCTCCTCCTGATGATAAGAGGATCCAGGGCCATCCCGCTCTTTGTGCGGCTCTTCCGCGTTGCGCGGGGCTGTTGTCAAAGCGAGGTTCGAGTAGGTGGAGGAGGAAAGGAGCAGAGTTTGTGCTCTGGGTCACTCGGGCTCTGTGTCCCCGCCGGGGCCGGGTCACGGCTGGGGAGTTAAGGGAAGGCAGGGGGTGCCCGTGGGAGGTGACCACAGGCTGCAAGGGGGGCACCACGGCGCGTCCTTTTTTATCCAGGGGCATTATTAGTTGTTTTGTAACTAGATTAATAAATCATAGTTGGAGGGTTGAGAGTCAGTGATTCATCGATTGTCCAGGGATGGTGGTAGGAGAGCTGTGGGGTGGTCTCGGGGATGGCTGAGGGTGGTGGATCTGTCATTATCCAGGAATAACCAATCCCTCTGGGATGGAGCCGTCTGCCTTAGCCCGGCAGGATGGGAGGGAGCACCCAAGGGGGTGAGGGTGCCCGGGGAACGGGCTGGGGTCGGGGAGGTTGCTGGTGCCCTCTGCCACTCATGCTGGAGGTGCTGGGCGTGCAGGATGTGCCGAGCAGCTAATTACCCCATTCTCCTATGGAAATGCAGCTAATTACCCCCTTCTCCCGTGGAAATGCAGCTTTCCCAATGGCCCTGCTGCTGCTGCCAGTGGCAGAGCACCCACGGCCTGCAGCTCCTCAGGGAGCTGTGCCAGCCCAGCCCTGCCAGCCGGATCCTGCCCATCGCACAGCCTGGCCAGGGAGGCACCTGTGGCTCTGCAGTAAGGGGCACCCTCCCCACACTCACACTGAGATTCCAGCCCCCCTGGGAGGTGAGGGATGCCCAGAGGATGTGGGATGTGCAGCCAGGGATGCAGGGCCCTGTGCTGCTGTGGCAGATTTCAGCTTGAGAAACGTCTCACGGGCTGCAGCAGCGGGAGCTGGGCAGGCCTTGGTGCACCTGGCAGGTCCTGGCAGCCTCCCCAGAGCATCCCAGTTCTGCCACAGAAGGCAGGGAGCCACGGCAGGAACAGCCAGTCCTCCTTGGGGACCCACAGGCCCTGAGGCTGCAGCTGAGCTTTGCAGGTGTTGTGTCACAGCCCCAAAGCCTCCGGGGCTGTGCTTCCTGGAGTGCCACTGTCACCCTTCCCTGCTCTGGGCATGGCACAGCCTTCCGGGCATCTGGCTCTGCTGGGGTCGGGCAGAGGGCAGGCTAGGCTGGCCAGGGCTGAGTGACCATCCCTGAGTCCCACGGACACAGTCCCATCCCATCCCATCCCATCCCATTATCCCATCCCACCCCATCCCACCCCATCCCATCCCATCCCATCCCATCCCATCCCATCCCATCCCATCCCTGTCCTCTCCAAGGCAAGGAGTGATCCCACCCAGTTCCCAGCTGTTAAGGGTCACAACTTGTCACTTTTCCCTGCAGCCACTTTTGTCACTTTTCCCTGCAGCCACAGGAGGCTTTCCCTCCTTCTACAACCAGGAGCTGATTCCCAAGAGAATCTCTGGTTTGGGACTTTGAGGAGATGACCAAGTAGGGCTGTAAGTGCCTCGTTCTGGGATGTGTCTGATGGGGGGCAGCTGCTGAGGGTCCCCCCTGTTGTTCCCTGTCCCCTGAGCCACCCAGCCTGGGTTCTGCATGGACCTCTGCCCCTTCCTGGTGCTGGGAGGTGGCATTCGGAGGACACGGCCACTCGGGCACCTTGCCAGAACTGGGCACACCTGTGTCCAGGCTGTCCCTCGAGCTGGGCACACCTGTGTCCAGGCTGTCCCTGTCCCTTGATCTGCACACACCTGTGTCCGGGCTGTCCCTGCTCCTTGGGCTCCCAGTACTCCCAGTGCTCCCAGTTCAGCCTCTTGCAGCAGTGTGAGAGCAGAGCTGCCCACACAGGTGGGGAGGGCGCAGAGCTGTGCCCTCGGTCGTGTCTGCTGCAGCTCCTCTGCTTTCTCCCTGAGAACCAGTCGGACCAGTGGGCCAGGACTGGAGCCCAGCCTCGCTGCAGGGAGGCAGCCGTGTCACCAGGGGACAGGAGGGACGTGCCAGGCTCCAGCACAGACGGGGCTCAGCAGCAGCTCCAGGCCGGGATAACGAGAGCAGCTCCAGTGGCACAGGACATGGACTCCAGTACAGGTGAGCAGGACATGGACCCCACACAGGTGAGCAGGACATGGACCCCTGTACAGGTGAGCAGGACATGGACCCCGCACAGGTGAGTGGGACATGGACCCCGCACAGGTGAGCAGGTGCCTTTGCCCCCCTCAGGGGACAGATCTGGGCTGTTCATGGCCCGGGCAGTGCTTTGCTGCCCTCCCTCCCTGCTCCCCATGGGCTGGGGCTCACTGCTGGGTGCTGTGCCCTTGCAGCGCTGCTCAGAGCCGTGCCCTGGGATGCGGGCACCTCTGCTGCCGAGGGTGCCAGGGCAGGGACGCCTCCCACACCGGGCACGGGGCAGGGCCCGGGCACGGCGCCGGCACCCTCCCACGGGCCGTGGGCGTGGGGACGGGGCAGTTTCGGCAGCCGGCTGATTCAGGGAGGCTGTTGCAGCACGTTCCTCCGGCCCCGCGGCTCCTCCGTGACTCACGGCTGTCACAGCTCCCCGACCTCGCCCTGTGCGGGGGTCCCGGGGCTGTCACAGCTCCCTGACCTCGCCCCGTCCGGGGGTCCCGGGGCTCCCTGGCCTCGCCCTCTCGGGGGTCCCGGCGCTGCCGCTCGCCCCGGCCCCAGCAGAAGCATTGGCACCCGCGGATGCTGAGCCGTGCCAGGAGGGCCGGCTGGCAGGGAAAGGAAGGGCAGGGCAGGTCCCGCTCCTCCCCGCGAGCCCCGGGAGCGGCGGCCGGCGCTCCGCGGCTGTTTGTCCGTCCCGCCAGGCGGAGCGGATGCTGCAGGACGCGCCGGTGCCGCGCTCGCCGTGTAAACACCGCGACCACAGGGGAAATGTTCTCACTCCGCTGGCATCTGCCTAAATTTAGCCGCTCTTAGGTCATCCCCTTCCGCTGTCTCCTCGGTGCCGCATCGATTCCCGTCCCTGTGCCCTCCTGGCTGTGCTGGGGGCAGTGCCCAAACCCCCTGTGCCCTCCTGGCAGTGCCCAAACCCCCTGTGCCCTCCTGGCCGTGCTGCAAACAGTGCCCAAACCCCCTGTGCCCCCCTGGCCCTGCCCAAACCCCCGTGCCCGCCTGGCACAGTCCAGCAGAGCTGTCCGTGCAGGAATCGATGTTCGGTGGCTGTGCCCGGCCCCTCGGTGCCCTGGCAGCCCCGGGACATTGATCGGTGCTGGGTTTTGCCGGAGGGCAGGGATGGGGCAGCACGGATCCCGCGCAGGTCCCGCACAGCCCCGGCCGTGTCTGTCCCCGCCCGGCGCTGGCGGAGCCGCTGCTGGTGCTGACAGAAGCATCCTCTAGAGGGAACTGCCAGCCCAGGAATGGCTCCAGCGCCGCCAGGAAAGGAGCAGCGCCCCACGAGCGGTGCGGATACAGCCTGGTCAGGGTGGCCACCTCCCCTCCCAGTGACCGTCCCACCTGGGGACAGCGCTGATCCCCGCCATGGGGCTTTGGGGACAGCCGAGATCGCTGTGCCACGGTGCTGGCAGCGCTGCAGCGGGGACAGCTCATGCCGGAGGGTTGTCCCCCCGCTCCCGGCTGTCCTGTGCCCTGCAGGGGACAATGGGGACCCTGCAGGGGACAATGGGGACCCTGCAGGGGACAGTGGGGACCCGCAGGCTCCCGGGGGTCTGTGTGCAGAGCCCCTCCTGCCTCTGCTTTCCAGGACAAGAGCCCGTCAGGGTCCTCGGGGTTGTCTTGGGCATCGGGCTGGCCCTGCTGATCCTGGCCAGCTTTGGCTACACCTTCATCCGCTGGTACCGGCGGGGACAATGCCAGCGCCGTGAGTGGGACAGGGGACAGGGCAAGGGACAGGGGAGAGTGGGACAGGGGAGAGGGGGACAGGGGGATGGGACAGGGCAGGGGATGGGGGACAGGACAGGGGGGACAGGGCAGGGCAAGGGATGGGGGGACAGGGAAGGGGACAGGAGGATGTGGGGACAGGGCAGGGGGGCTCAGAACACGGGGCTGCAGGGCCTGGGGTGTGGGGAACACGGGAGATGGGAAACCCTGGTGCAGGGAGCTCAGGGCCAAGCTGGTGGCACCCTGAGGTGAGGAGGGGGATGCACAGCAATGTCCTTCTGCTGTCCTGCTCCCTGTCCTGCCTGTCCCCACCCTGCCCCTCACAGCAAAGCAAAGGTGGGTTCACAGCAGCACACGGCTCTGACTCCTCTCCCTCCTCTTCCTCGTGCCTCCCCAGGGCCTGACTTTGTCTTCAGCCTCTACCACTCGCGGTGAGTGATGCCATGGGGGTACCAGGGCAGGCTGGCAGCTCCCTTTGTGCAGTGCCAGGGTGCCACAGCCCCTCCCCAGCCAGTCCTGCTGCTGGCAGGGGCTGCAGGAGGAAGGGTCTGCAGCTCGGTGACCCCTGTGCTGTCCCTGCAGCGGGCTGGGCTCGGTGGCACTGGAGCTGGTGCCACCCTTCAGCATCAGCGGCTCCCTGGGCACCTCGGGCAGTGCCTACGAGCCCTTCCACAGCCAGAGGCCGTGAGGGGAGAGCTGGGCTGCTGAGCAGGTAGGAAGGACATCCCCTTGTGCCCCCCAAAGCCTCTGTGCTGTGCCTTGCAGCCCCTGGGCGTCACAGCTTTCCTCAGCACAGCCCAAGGTTTTCCAGTCCTGCCCGTGGCTCTGGGGCTCAGAGGCTTTCCCTGAGCTCTGGGTTTGCTTTTTCCCCCACAGGCCTTGGTTTGTGTTTCCTTTCCTGCTGTCCCAGGCACAGAGGATGGGGCTGGAGCCCTGGGTGCTCCTGCAGAGCTTCCCCTCTCTGCCTCTCACTCACAGCCCAGCACCAACAGAAAA